CACGGCCGGCCGCTGGGGCCATGTCCTGCACCGGGGTGGGGGGGCCTCGCCTCTACCTGTCCCTCCGCTGCTCTTTCTGGAAGTGGGGGGCCTGGCGCTGGCAGCAGGGAGCGTGGAGGGGCCGGGTCGCAGGCGCCTTGTCCCCCACCGGCTCCCCCCAATAAGACGGCAGCCGGCGGGGGCCCAGTTAGCACCGGACCTCAGAGGCCGTTCATTACTCGCTGCCTTGGGGTTCACAGCCCCGCTGAGCGGCCGCTCCCCAGTGGCCGGCGGTGGGGCGCCCTTCAGGCCCGGTCCGCAAGCTCACCCGCATGCAGGTGGGGGCTGCGGGCTGGGGGGTTGCGGGGGACGCCGTGTCCGCTCTCTGGCCGCACCTCCCCTCTGAAGGGCCAGGGCAGGACTCTGTTCTGTTCCCGGGCGACGTCAGGCAGCTGGACGGCCGCCACCTGGACAGGCCCGGCCTCGTGTGGCTGCTCCGAGGGCTCTCGGGCCGGCCTGTGTCCAGGGCACCCGGCACGGGGCTGCAGGGACTGCGGGGGATGGGCCGCCCACGCCACGCACCTGCCGGCCGCCGCGGCCAGCACGGAGCACCCGGCCCTGGCCTGGCCCCTGCCCACGGCCACCGCCTGGTCTCGGTCCCGGCAAAGGGGCCGCTGCCCCTGCAGGTTTACAAGGTCCGCGCCCCGGCCAGAGTGGACATCAGCTGGGAGCGCCCCCGGGACCAGGCGGGCGCGGAGGCGGGGGCTCCTTCAGTGGATGGATCTCAGGGTCAGCCTCGACCGCGGTGACCCACACGTGCCCTCGGCCTGGGCCTCTGACCCCAACACCGCCCTGTCCATCACTGGCCGTGGCCCCGCACCCCCGGGCAGGCGCTGGGGAGGCCATAATCGATTTAGGGACGATCAGGTCAGAACGCATGGCACTCGCCACAATTAAACCTTCAGTCTTCATTACGGCGACCCGGGGACCCCACGAGGCCAGAGACGCAGTCACCGGGCCACAGCAGCACCCAGTGGTGTCCAGCCCCAGCCCGGCCCGTGGGCACCAGCCATCACCAGCGCAGGCAGCCCCCACTCTCTGCCTCAAGCTTCTACCGAGGGGCAGCCTATGACACGGACAGGGTGGGGGGCTGTGGGCCCCTGGGATGCAACCCCCCAGGACATAGCCCCCCCAGGCACAACCCCCAGGATGCCACCACTTGAGGCGCAGCACCCCCCAGGATGCAGCCCCCCCCAGGACGCAGACCCCCACAGGCGCAGCCCCCAGGACACAGCCAGTGAGGACATAGCTCCTGGGGATGCAACCCCCTAAGGAGGTAGCCTCTGAGGATGCAGCCCCCTGACGTGGCCCCTGGCTCGGAGTGGGTGCCGCAGAGCCACGGCGGCCACGGAGCTCACCCAGACCTGCCACGCGCACTGCCTGGGGCGTGTCCCCGCGTGCAGGCACGCTGGCAAGCAGCCCCCCCACCGCACGCCCACGTCACGTCTCCCACGCCTCCCCAGCGCCCCCACCGTGCTACCCACGCTCCCCGAGGGCCCCCACCACGCCACATCATGTCCCCCACGCTCCTCCAGGGCCCCCACTGCACTCCCCACGTCACGTCCCCCACGCTCCCCGGGGGCCCCCACCATGCTCCCCAGGGCACCAAGAGGGTGAGCGGTGTAGGAGGTCACCTTTCTGCCACCGCGCAGAGTCCCTGAGGCTGAACAACCAGCCCCACGTGTGGGGGACCCCGAGGCTGGACCAGAGAGGAAGGCCCGGCCCGGCAGCCCCCTCCCCACCCAGAGCAGAGGCGGGCACCCTGGCCCGGGAGGCGCAGGGCTGGCCACAAGCCACCGACTGGGGCAGTTACGATGTTTTCAGCCACAATGACAGGTTGTCACGGGAGTCCACTTGCGTGGGGTGTCCAGTGCCCAAGCACGTGGGCTGGCCAGCTGGGTCCCAGCGGAAGGAGGGCCTGGTTCCTCCCAGGTCACCGATCTGTCTGCTGTGAGCGCAGCCCCCACGACAGAGCCCGACACACGCTGGGTCTCCACGTCTGCACCCCAACTCTGCTGGGCCCCTGAGAACGGACAGAAGACAGCGGCAGCTTCACGTGCGGCGGGGGCGGCTCAGCCAGGGGTGCGCGCAGGGGCGGGTCACAGCCTCCTGAGGGCCGGCCGGCCCCCTCTCCCGGCTGCGGGTTGCGCGGGCGCTGGGGTGGGGGCTGGTCCACGGCCTGCCGGGCCTCCAGACTCAGAGGCCCCCATAAGCGGCCAAAGCGGGTGGAAGCCTCGGTGCAGTGCGTGCCCCTTTTATGCAACTGTGCACGCAGTGGATCTGGACTGGACCAATCAGGTGAGAGCTACCAGCTGATTGGTGCTCAGTGGCCCAATCAACCACAGGATTGAAAAATGATCCAATCAGACGTGGGGGGTGGGGCGCCCTGAAGAGAATATAAGCCAGAGTCAGCAGTGCCTGAAGGGAGATGCCTCAGGCCCCAAAGGAAGAGGAAGGTGGGGCAGTACCCCCCTGGCCTCCGGAAGGGAAAAAGACAGGGGGGAGGGGGAGGGGCATCCGGACCCCCGCAGACCCGCTGGATCCTGTCCATGGTGTGTCTGAGGGGCTGTTGGTGATGTTGCGGCCCAACCCCTCAACTCGCGCACTGGGCTTCCTGACCCTCTGGTGACCTTTAGTGGTCACCACACTGGCCAGTGCTGCCCCGGCTCCTGCTGACCGCAGCGACCATTCCTGGCACTGTCTGGGGGAGGCGGCTGCCGCCATGCATGGCCACTGCTCCGTGCCCTCCTGTCGGGTCACTGCGGTTGTGGGGGAGGACAGGCTGGCTTGTCCCCCTCTGGCGCCATCCGGTGCTGGGCTGACCCCAGCAGGCCCCCGCTGTGGGCGCTGTGTAGCCCCTGGCTTTGCTTTCGGCCTTTGGGCGTCTCAGCGGCTCTGGGCCAGGGCCCCGGTGGGGGCCCCACTCGCCCCCATCCGCCTCTTGCCCTGTCTGGCCCTGTCTGGCCACCAAACACCCCCCTTCCTCAGCCTGAGGCTTCAGAGGCAGCAACAGGTGTTTTCTGGAAAGCATGTCCCCCAGAACAGGGCGGCGCCACCCCAGAGGTGCCCAGGCCGGGGCAGGGGCCGGCCGTGGGGGTCTTCAGGGCGGGGCAGAGTTGCGTCCCTCCTCCTCTTCCCTGGAGCTCAGCCTCGGCCAGGACATCTGGTGTGTATGATGGGAGGGTCAGAGGAGGCAGGTGGCCATGGTGTCCACTGCAGGCCGCCAGCCCTGGTCCAGCAGTGTCCTCCCTGCCACCAGGCCGGGAGACCTGGGGAGAAGGGGCTGGAGCCTGTGGACTGCACGTCCACTGCGGTGAGCACAGCCAGCGCAGGGGCAGCAGGGGCAGCAGGGGCTCCAGCTGTCCACCCGGGAGCCCTGGGCCTGGCATGGGGAGAAGGCACCCCCGGGCTCTGCCCTCAAGCCAGCGAGAGTTGGGGCTCTCTGGATTCTGGGAGCGGCACGCTGAGGGCCCATGCGCGACACCCCAGGGCGGTGGGCAGCGCGTCCGACAGGGGTGTGGACACCAGGGCCTGGGCAGAGACGAGGCAGGTGGGCGCTGCCTCACTTCCGCCTCTCTGGCCTCGGACCCTCCCTGAGGTGCTGTGGTCAAGAGTGACCGCCAGCCCGTGAGGCCCCACCCCTCCCCGGCTGGGGAGTGGACCCTCCATCCTTCGCCCCGGGACCTGGGAAGCGCAGCCTGCAGCGTCTCTGGCACACATTCCCCGAAACAGGCCAGGAGACGCCCCTGGGATTGCCCGACCCCCGGGACCCCTGTGGGGCCGGGTGGGGGGTCGCTCCCGTTCCGGCTGCTCCCCTGGCTCGGCATTCAGGTGGCAACACTGTGGCCGAAATAGCCACCGTGGAAGGGACACAAATGTCCTCCCGGACAGGCTCTGACCTGGGCCCTGCCACAGGCCTCCTGGCCCCCGCGGGGCCCCCCAGGCCCCTGCCCAGAGGGCCATCGCCCGCTTGGCCAGGCGGCCGCAAGGGGACATTTCCTGGCCCGGTGGGAAACAGCAGGGCAGACAGACGCAGCGGGGCCTCCGGGGTCTGAGGCGGGCGGCGCGGGGGACGTGC